GTTTATTGACATTTGCTCGAGAAAAAAAAAACAAAAAAAAAAAAACAGAAATTCACCAAATCTTGAATGCCAGGAAAATGACATATTAGCTAATAGTAAGCATTTTCAGTTAATAGTAAGCAACTCAACTTAAACATTTCTGTTTGATGGACCATAAATTGCTTAAATTCATTCTTTTTATCCACTGTAGAGGGAATCAAATTTTTTTGTTGTTGTTGCTGCTGATACGTACAGAATAAAATTGTGTGTAATAATCAATCATTAAATTAATAAATAACTTTGAGTACATCTAACCATATTACAATCATACATAAACTTGGTATTAGGTCTTTTCCTTGGTACTTTTCCTCCTTACAGTATTAGAAGTACTACATTACTACAGTTGAAAAATATTTTTGGTGACACTTCAAGGTCCTGGAATTCATAAGCCAGGATAATGACAAATTCGCCATTTTCTAGCATATAACTTTACTTTAAGTTAATATTTTGGCCTAAGATATTTACATTCTGCAGAAAACGACAGGATTTCTTAAAATAACTCAGATAAATCTATGTAATTTATATTATTAATGATTTCAAGAAGCCATGGAAAGCCAACACGAAAACCTACTCATCTTGAAAAATATTGAAATAGATTTTGAACCAGAAAATTGGTTCTTTATTCACGCAAGAAGACATGTTCGTATAGGAGGGTATCTAATCAATCTATTAGCATAAAATATTGATTGCTGGCTCTATCGATTTTGGTTATAAACCACTAAATAAAAGTAGCCCGGAAAATGACAGATTTTCTTGGGAGAAACAAATTATTGACAAAAAAAATTATTTTAAGAGAAGTTTTTGTAAATAATACCCTCTGCGTATATTCTAGAAATGCTTACACCGGTTGAGATAAAAAAAAAATAGATATTGAAAAACTTATGGGAAGTTTTGAAGCTAGTTATTATTGAAAACATTGTTTGGGACATGCCAGGAAAATGACATTTTGAAGTTCAATTGAATTTTTTAACTATACAAAACAGTCAATGCTAGTGCAAAGTCATTTTAAAATGCTAACAACTATTCAATTCATTAATTTTAAAAAAAAATTCTTTTAGTATTATAGTATTAGATCTTGGAGCAAGGGACAGTGAATTGTCATATTTCGTGAGAATCACCCATATGCATTACCGACGTCCCAATGCAAATAGAGCTTTTCTGGGAGTTGCTCTAAAATTGCAGCATGAGCACCCAGAATTTTTTCCCCCTTTTCTCAAAACGATATTGAATTAGAGATCTTAAATCATATTACATTTTTTTTATTTTTATGCTATTCTTTAGAGTAAAGAGAACTCATTTAGAAATAAATGTAAATTTAATATACATTTCGATATCTAATTCGCGACTGGGTCTTGCAATCTCTGCGTGGAAATGAAATTAAAATAACATGACATAAATCCGTTCAAGAACTTCTGTAAATTTACAGATAAATTTACAGTAAATTTACATTTAAAAAGGTTTAAGATCTATTTGTAGCTTATGCTTTTAGACATTGTTTCTGTGAATAAGTCAAACGAAAGAAAAAAAGTTATAAGAAAATTATTTCTAGTCTTCGTACGCGTATAATATAATGGATAAGGCTCTACAACAGTTAGTTCAATAACATCTCGCTACACCGTGACATTCTCTATCACGTGTCAGACGTGAATCGCATAATGTAATAAAGTTGAAGAAACGGAGTTACAAACCAGATTTGCTAAAAAAAAAGTAATAATCTAAATAGCTCTGAAATATAGTCATGAAACTATTTATATCTTACTTACTAGTGCCCTTTTTTCTACAATATAATTGTTAATTACTTTCGTGTTTCAAACGGTGTGATAAACTGAGTATGACAAAAATATAATATAGGAGCAAACATAACTGGGGAGCCTAGAATTGTGCTATCTTAACCTAAATACAGCAATTTACCCGGCAAAAATGGGATCAGTACAGATGCTTGGCTAGGGTTTACAACACCTTGAGACAGACTTAGATTTCGCGCTCTCTTGCATTACGTTGTAAGACTCATAAAGAGCTTTTCGTGACCATTTTAAAATGGTTGTGCAAAGCCCACTCCACTTTGCATTGATTCGTTAAATTTTACATAGAATAAATTTTTTAAACTTTAAATGAAACATTTTAAGACAACGTAACTCAATAACATAATTAATTTTCGATTCAGTTTAAAATTTAACAGTGTATGTTACTTATATAATTTCTGTTCCACTTAGATATGTTTTGATAGCGTTTACTGTGTTTTATTTAATAACAAACGCTTATTCTAAGGTTTTTTTTCATTTAATATATTAACAATTGGTTCTAAGTAATTTAAGCAAACCCTCGAATAAAACAAACTACAACTATGATTGGTTATTAAAACGGGCTGCAAGTAGGACATTGCAAAACTTTCAACTTTTACATGCTTTCACCATTAGTGCATGGATAGTCATATGAAGTGGACAAAAGTTAGTTTCCGTCTTGATTTTAATACAGAATAAACATTTTTAAGCGCGAAAACAGTATATTCAAAGAATAAACATTTTATTAGAAGCACGAGTCACGTGATTGACACTTTTACAATATTTTTTCTTCAGTATTGGTAAGGAAGCTTGGAACTCAAAGCTGCATTAAACATAATTCTAAAATAAAGCGAAAATTTTAGAAAATATTTTTGACAGTTAAAGGCGAAAAATATTTTGGAAGAGGAAAATATCATAGTACATTACCATACAACTGAACAGAAGGGGAGAGGGAAGAGGGATCAAGACATGGAACAGATCTTCTCCCCAGATGGCGTTTCTTGAGCGTTGCGATAGCGAATCTCATTCAATTTATAGGTAAATCAAATAAAAATTTGAGAGAGTTATGGTAGTTTCAGTTTTCATATGAAATTAAGGCATACAAAAAAGCAAAAAGGTTTATTCTGGATTTTTTTTTCAGTTATTTTTCATACATTTTGCACCCGGGAACAAATAACAAAAGGTTCCCTATTCTAGCTACGCCACTCAATCTGGATATAAGTTTCTTCATTATTTTTAAAAATCAAATAGAATGATGAATTGAACCTTTGAACCTGGTACGCAAAAAATTTTAATCAGCGTATTCTACTATAGATGGTATTTTCGATATAAATGTAAACAATAACAATCTCGAGCTCTATACCTGCTCTAGTTCCGGTTGGAAAGTTTGCAACTACTTACGACAGTTTATCCTGTGAGGCGATATTTTCAAACGGAAAATTTTGTTTTCAATAAAAGAAGTAAATTAGATAATATCTGAGTTCTAATCTGCCGTATTTCATAAGATTGTGGGGACAGTCACATCGACCACGCCAACCTTCATCTAGGAAAAGTAGATTGGAGTTAAATCTTTGTAGTGGTAGATACACTATGGTAATCCCCCACCAGAATTATATTTTTGATAGAATTCGATGACCGAATACCACTAGTTGATTCATTGCTGTTTTGTGCGAAGCCGGGAGAATTGCATTAAGATCACCGTACTTTTTGGGTGCTGACAGCAAGAGCTGTATTAAGTTCACTGTCATAGTAGCTCCTCTGTTGCTGTTAGCAGTCGAATGTATACGTCGTGTGTGATCGAGACTGAGAAGCAACAGCGTGAGGAGGACAATGTCACAGTCACTGTTGAGGAAAAACTGTAACCACACTTATTTGAAGCAGCTTTCTTCTACGTCAGCATGTTAGCAGAATGCTCTGATTGGCCGTTAAGTTTGAGCCCAAGAAGGCTATAAATACAAGTAACTCTGTTTATCAGATGTTCTTCTTCATTTCTCCTGTCCCAGTCTGCGTTCCAACTGTGTAACTCTCTGTGTAATGTTCTAATAAGCATGTCATTCTTGGATCCACTGATCTCTGAATTTTATTACAACAACAGTCACAAGTAGCAAGTCAACAGTTTCACGTGGACCATTCATCCAAGTAGACATGTCCAAGAGCGTATTTGCCAAGGTTATTTTTTCGCATGCAGTTGATAGTCAAGTTTTTTAGGGATAAATATTTTCCACCAATCATGATGTCACCAATTGGGTATAATATGAAAAAAGCTACTAGGAATAACTTACTAGGACCTTACCCACTACTTACCCACTTACTAGGAATAACATTTACCTTTTAGTTTAATTAATAAACTGAGTTTTAAATATGTTTACTAAATTCATAAACTTCGGTAAAGCAACAATATAAATTATTTCCAAAGGAACTAGACTAATACAATTCCAACCTGGCGAGTAGTGACTTATAAACAAGACAGTTCGTTTGATGCTTTTACTTGTTGCTAGAAATCAGGTTCGCAGAAAATGCTGTTTACTAGTTAAATTTAGTAGGAATAACACGATCTGTGACGTAGGCTATAGTATACCCAATTATTTGGTTTTCGTTCGCGTGCGAATTTATATGTGAAAAAAAAAATTGCGTCCCGTGAAATCGATTCCTCAAGCGTCATTTAACAGTACGAATGAGAACCTGATTGGTGAAATATATTTTACCATGGAAACTTTCTAATCTGGTTCTAGTTCGCATCTTCGAATTCGCAAAATCTATTATTTTTACAAGCAGTGAGAACGGCCCTTGAAATTACAATACCTGTTGAAATGTATAGCAAAATGGAAAACAGTTTATAAAGCGACATCTATACAACATTTGAAATGCTGATGAGTTTGAGATCTTGGCAAGTAACTGTAACTTTTATTTCAATCATTTTGATCAAGAGAAAAGGGTTTGTGTGGGGACGGGGGAGTTAAAAACAATAAAAAATTGTCAATAACATCCTATTTGGCGCGGGATGTTTTAAATTGATATTTATTTATTGTTTTTATAATATTTTTAGTAATATGTGATAAGTCTTGTGTGGTAAGTACATCTAAAAGCTTCAGGGTATTTCAGCTAAGCAAAATTGATTGTTTTTAAATTTCCTTACGGGGTTTTCTACGATGTCAACATCTTGCTTCAAAAATTGCAAACTCTTATTTTATTTTATCTTATATCAGCTGATAAGCTATTAAAAATAAAGGAAATTTTGATATCTATTTTTAATTGTTTTGTATTTCTGAAATTTTTCGAATTATTTTGAAAATATATTGTAGGTCAAGCTCTGTATATTTCTAGTACTGTATGAAACGCTCTGATTTAACATCGCTTTATTTGATGAGGTTTAGAAAAATTACAAGTATTTAAAGTTTTTCGATTGTAAGAGGATTTATTAGGATCCTTTACATTTTCATTCATAAATGACATCCCCACCTCCGAAGATTAAAATTGTGATGACATGCCACCAGATCTTCTTCAGGGATGTTTTCCAAACCGCCGCCAACAGGCCATTGTGCAGCTTTAGTGTGTTGTAAATAAAAGTACCTACATATATCTTCAGAAGTTGAACAAGTTTTTCCTAATTCTGTTGTAAAAGCCTGAATAATTACCAGCTAACTCCTGAATTAATTGAAAAACAATACAAGGAGATGTAAACATTACTTTAGGCTATAATGAGTACCTGTAAAAGGTGAAAGATTCAGTTAGAGGTTTATGAATTAAGTCAACAGGGTGCCTAAAAATTATAGCTAGTGTTCAGTAACCTTTAATCAATAAAAAAACCCAAAAATTTGAGGTTATGAAATTTATTTATTTTTTTCTCCTATGCATTGCTTGCATATATGAATTGCATATCTTAATGTATAATTAATTGTTTCTGTACTAAAATTGTGTACAATATTTCATACCTCTTTATTTTTAGATAGTATTAAACTAATTTTTACATTTGCAGTTGGACAAAAATTGACTTTTACAGTTTCATGTTTGTAAAAGATTGTTACCCATCGTTTTGTTCCTTAACATGGCAGTCTTAAAAATACTCATGGCTCTTGGGAATTTTAATATTTTTTAGAGTGAACAGCATGGGTTATTACCAATTTGTGCATGAAAAATGCCCTCAGAACAAATACGTTTATGTTCTGCCTCTGAAAAATGTAAATTTACAATTGTGACCTAAGTTAAATTCTTATCAAAAATATTTAAATTTTTTTCCTACCTAAAATTATTTAATTAAGGCTATGAGTCAAACAAACGTCTGGTTATAACATACATGTTCTTAATTAAATAACATTGAAATATAGTTAAAAAAAATTATAATTATTTGCATTAAATGAATAGATATAGTGAACATAAAGGCTATTGTGCAAGTTGCTAGTTAAATGGTATAAATAAAAATATTACATTCGTATTATTTGTTATTCATTCATTTACTCCACCATTTATGTTATAAATGTGACATTGTTGGCAGTGAAGTATTATTTTTTAGTAGATTGTCCCATGGAGTGATTTCCCTGGCTGAAAAAATTCATATTGTTTTAATTTCATTCCAGGTTGGTTAAAATTCATGTTGTCAATTATATAACATTGAATTATAATTTAAAAAAAACTATGGTTACTTGTACAGTAAAGGGAATAGGAAAACCAAAAAACCGAACGAAATTCTATAAATTTTACCGCCATTTTTTTAAAAAAAATGCTTTTTTCCTCATAAGATTTTAGGATTTTTCTTTGTTTCTTGAAAGATGTTAACCTTACCATCATTTTGGAAATAATCATTAGTGCAGTACTTCATCGTTTTTTCTTTTTAAGATTATTTCCAAATATTTTTTTTTAGTTGGGTTTAACAATTAAAAAAACAGCGATTCAGAAAATCGGAAAAATCAGTTATCCGGAATAGCGACAGTCCCGATCGTTCCGGATAATCAGTTCCCTACAATAATACGTGAAAAGATACAGTGTTACATTAGGAGCAGTTATGCAAGTTGCTAAGCGATTGCTGTAATTAAACATTGTATTACAGTGAAACCCCGATTTTACGTTTCTCAGGGGACTGGGTAAAAAAAACGTAAAATCCGGGAAAACGTAAAATACGGGAAATACTTAGATAGCAAAAAATCATATAATAATAATGGGAAAATAAAACAAACTAAAGGTAGTAAAGATGACTCTTTCAAAAGGTACTATTAAAATCTATATTTTACGAAAAGAATATTAGTATTTAAAGAAAAAAACATACCAGTTCAAGATCACTTTTACAATTTTTGTTAAGAATCATGTAATTTAGGTGCAAAATAGTGCGTAATAGTAGATTGTTTTTTAGACATTGAGTTCAAAGTAAATGCCTCATCTTCCAGGACTGAAATCTTTTGCAAATTTTTTTCCTGGTCTTTGTATGATAGAAAATAGTCTTTCACTATTAGCAAACTTCTCAATGCTGTGTTGAAAGAAGGAACGGGCTGTGCTTCTGTTTCTTCTTGTTCATCTTCATCGGCGGATGAAAAGTCCATAACATCGTCCACGGATGGAGCAGTGGTTCTCTCAGCTTCGCATGTTGCTAAGTTTTCTCGGATGTACTCGTCGAAGTCATAGCTAACTGTTTCATTGTCATTCTCCGAGTCTAGTCTATCTAATCCTGCATCTGTTAACGGTTCATTAGAAGCTACGATTCCGCTTTCTTCAAAACAGTGGGAAATGCACTTTTGTGTAACGCTTCTCCAAGCAGCAGAAATAAAATGCATAGCCTCCAGAACACTTAACTTTAGTTTGCAGGCGTCATTTAGGTTTCCGTTCTCTAGTTCAGCTACAGCTTTCCGGACAAGTTGCTTTCTGTAAAAAACCTTAAATATTGCTTATTAAAACGTTTTTTTATTTTTTCTTTCTACAAAAAAACGTAAAATGCGGGAAATTCCGTAAATTAAAAACTTACAATCCGGGTAAAATTAACATTGGAAGTGTACGGAAAAACTGGGTCCTGATGAAAAAAACGTAAAATGCGGGAAAAACGTAAATTCGGGGGACGTAAAATCGAGGTTTCACTGTATTAAAATATTTGTTATTCATTCATGAACTCCACTATTAATGTTGTTATAAATGGGCAAATAATTGATCACAGTGTATTATTGTATTGTCACATAGGACAATTTTCTATCTGAAACATTTCATATTACAATTCCATTCCAGGCTAATTAACAAAAACACTAGAATGTTAACCAAATTGATTAATATTAAGATTTTACTATAAATCTTTTTTGTATTTTAAATTTTCGTACTTTATTTTAGGGATTCTAACCTTTAGCAAAGCAGCAGAAAAGAAAACTTATGTTTTAATTTGTTGAAAATAAAATGCTTTGTTAAGATATTTTGTGTGGGAGCAGCTATTTGGTGATGTAGCATTGGTGAGTTTATTTAATTTCTTCTTTAAAGTTTTGTTTGAAACTTATAATTGAAGTGTATGTTTAGTATTAATAATTTTCAGAAATAATACATTGATATTTGTAAAGATAGATTGTTTGTCAACCTACTAACACCTTGAATTTGTTATTATGTGTACTTATTGTGTAACTAACTTTTCTTTGAACATAATAGTTATATTTTTAGAATAATTTTTAAAAATTAGTAGCAATAGATAACAAATTTATATTTTTGAGTGTTTAAAAGAAAGGAGCTAATATTTAAAAAAAAATATATATTTATAATATAATTCAGCCAGAAAATGTGGTAAATTTTATGTATTGTTTTATATTGATAATAGTCTTTAAATATTTTATTGAGTTGGCATTGGAATTTTTTATTTCTTTGTTGTACACAGGGTTGGAAAAAACCCGTGTAGGTAATACTGTGTTTTATTGAACTTTTCTGGGTTTTTCAAGTTTTATTGGAGTTTTTTTCAAAAGAGACGGCAGGGATAAGCACTTTATTTTAAAAAAGCTTATTTTAATATTAATAATTAAGTTTAATTTTATGAATTGGCTAAACATATAGTTAATTTAAGTGTAATTAATACAAATAAATTGGTGCAAAAGTCAGAAAGAAGTTTCTTCTTACATTACGATACACAATGTTGTATATACTTACTTACATCACGCGTTTGAAACTTAATTTATCACAGGTTTACTTTTTATTTATATTTTAATCTTAAAAAATATTTGAGGATTTTTTTTTTTTTTTTTAAATCTAGAATGCGAATCAAAGACACTGACTAATCAATGGCCAAATGCAGTCAAATCTTGCCAGCAAGGTGAGTCTCCAGTGTCCAAACACAGTTTTTTCACCAGAGGTTCATTTTTTTTAGACTAGACTACATATATATTTCAATAGGATAGCTCTTTAATATAACAGAGGATAAAAAAAAAATCAATTTTGGAAAAACCCACTTTGGGGTGAGTTTTTTAGAGTCCCAGGTTTTACTGGGTAGGTGGGTTTTTTGCAGTACAGCACCTAAACAGCTTTGAAATACCTAATATTTATATTGTACATTTATTTTAGACATTACTTAAGTATAATGCAGGGTAAATCTTAAGTGTTTTATTTTGAGTTCTGTTTATATAGATTTTAATAGATTTTTTATGCTCCTAATTTTTTTCTAATCTTAAATTGTATTTTGCTGTGACAAGTGCTAAACTTATAGAACTTCCTCTTTTTCTTTGGAAGATTTTAATTGAGTATGAAATGTTATATCTGTTATGTGATCATTTTATCTTATGTCAAATGTTAGTTGACGAAGTTCTAAATTATAAAGATGACTTCAGATTTACTACTATGCATGTAAATATTTTTTCTGTGCTTTTTGCTATGTTGTAATTGTTAAAATTTTTTTTTGTAAATCTTCAAGTGTTTTTCTTCATTTTAAAGTAATTCAGATTTTATGCTAAACTAAGGGGCGTGTTTTGCAGGGAGTGAAATAGCTCAGATATCCAGATGGCAACTAAGTAGTTCATCAAAACTTTAAATCTGTTTCTAGATCACTAATATTATTTTTATTAAGTAAATGCTTGGCTTCAGTGAAATACATTACAAATAGCAAAAATTTATTAATGATAATTTCAGGTCATTTAGATTTTAATACTTTTTAAAATTAAAAATAAAAATCAAGTATATTTTGCTTAAATTTATCCAAAAGATTAATTTCTGTAAATATTTACATGAGAATGAATTTAAAATATAGATATAAATTTTTAAGAATATTTATATTATATTATCTAGATTTACTTTGTTCCTCCTGAAATTGCACTTTTTTTTCTGCCAAAGGCAATTGTTTAATTTAGTTGCATAGCTTCCAACTCTACTGGATATTCCAGTAGACTACTGGATTTTGCCTGTTTCTTCTGGTCTACTGGTTTAAGTAAAATTCTGATTTTTGTGCATTTTAGAAAATTTCCTGACATTTAATAAGTTTCCTAAAAAAATCCCTATTCTAATAGAATTTTGTGCAGATTATTGCCTGCTTGCTTGAATATTTAAATAAGTATTACTAATACATAATGAAGCAAACCTCATTTATAGAAATTAGTTAAAAACTTTTTTTGTTATAAAATATTTATTTTTATTTGGAATTCTCTTTTTAAATTAATTAAAATCTTTTAACTATCTTTGAATTAAATGCCCATTGATATTAAAAATTATAAGTATACATAATTCAAGTATGTTTAATTTCAATCATAACTGGAAAATATTGCATCTTTTCGATTTTGAAGACTGGAAAATTCCCCATGTGTAAAATATTTAGTACATTCTGGAACAATTATCAAGATTTTATAAAATCTTCTGGATTTTTTCCAATCCATGTTTGCAACTATGTAGTTGTTTCAGTTAATTTTGAATCATTATTGCTATGGTCATTCTCTACAAATAGGCTATTTGCTGTTTATTTTAGTTTTATATTCAAGTAATTGTGCAAGAATTATAATTTTAGTTTAAAAAATAATAATTTTAATGAATATATGTCTGATTTAAAAATAGTCATGTGAAACAAATGTATAAGTTTTAACTAATAAAAATATTAAAATCAATCCTTAACTAAAGTGTCATTTTCTCACATTAAAGAAATAAAAAGAAAAATGTAATTTTGTTTCTTTTAAAGTTTATAGTGAAAAATAAAATTAAAAGATTATATATTCTTAAAGTATCCTATTTGAGGAAATTAGAACTCTTTTTAACACTAGAAAGACAGATGGGCCATTTTATTATTCAAAAAATAATTTACTGAAATCATTAAGTGTTTCAAGCGTTTCCTAATTTGATCCAATTGAAGTGATTATTTAATCATGCATTTGTTAGCCTTACAGGAACTTATGTATAGAACCTAATACCTGTACCCCATAACTCCAGGTAGTTGGGATATAAGGTTTCATTAAAAGAAACAAGATTATTTCAATGTCTCTATAATTTATTTTTATTGAGAAAAGTAAAGTCAATTATCTAAGAAACTAATGTACAAGTATAATAAAAAAGTCAGTGGTCAGTTTAATTAAATATTTTCATAGCTATTTCATTTCTAAATACCATAGAATTTTGATGATAGTCCAATGTATTTTAAATTAAATATGATTATATTTTAAGATTTTAGATTTCTAACTAATCAACACACAAACAATCTTTGAAAAGCCTCATTTGCCTTTCAGAATTTTAAGGTATACAGCAATTGTTCAGCCTTTCTAGTATTAAAAGTTTTAATAAATTTAATAATTAAACACATTAAAATAAATTAACTTTATAAATTATTAAGAGTGCCATTCTATCACAATGAAGTAATTAGAAAATAAGCATTATTTGCTTCTGAAAGTTATTCCTATAAATAAAATTATGACAACTGTATATGATTCTTCAACTATCCCATTATAGGAAATTAAAATGTTAATTAATACATTCATACACACAATAAATTTACTTGATAAATTTAAAAGGGAGAAGTAGAATGAAGAACGTCTTGACATTTATTTCGCAGTTTTATCAGATCATGATCTGATAAAACTGCGAAATACCTGAATCTCAAGCATTCTGAATCGCTAGGAAAGAGTGAATAATAAGAATTTTGAGTTTAAAACTTTTCTGATAAGTAAAACACTATTTCCAAAGCCAAAAAAATTAAATTAATGCATGGAAACAACTCTACAAGAGTTAATTTTAATAGATATATGTTGACCAAGAAAAATTTAGACCTTTCAGCTAGAAATTAATGCTTTTTGTATTTGTGGGAGGTAAGAGTTGTGAAATGAATGAGATTTCATAGATATAAAAATAATAAAAATTCATTTCAAATATTACTTCAAACTTATGAGATAATGTAATAAAGACTTTTTTAAACTATACATTAAACAAATATTTTTTTCTATATCATTTTGCTTAAGAAGAAATTGAAATATCTTTAATATATATCATATTAGCCTATTTGCAGAGTATTTCCTCTGTAATAATAAAAAAATTATTTGTTGCTATTTTAGATGGCTCGTGTGGATGTCAAATCTTCAATTGAAACCTTTGTTTCAAATTCACCTGATCTACCTGTATTGAAAAGTCCTTTACCTAAACGAAGTAAACTTTCACTAAGAAGGAATTCTTCGTTTTATAATGGCTCTCGAATGCAAGAAGATGGCCTCACATCACTTAAGGTGCCTAATCTCAATTCTGAGGTGTCAGGTGACATGACACCCAGCAAACCAGACATTGAGATGATTGATTTGACGTGTGATGGTCAAGAGGATGGAAATGCATCGCCAAATTGTAGCACGACCGAATCTAAATCATCCGTGTCTGAAACAGAAATGGAAGATGATAAAATTAAAGTGTGGACTATTGGATTACCCAATTGTGGAAACACATGTTTTGTTAACAGTATTTTGCAAGTTTTGCGATATTCTCCTAATTTTTTAAACTCTCTACATTCATTAGCTGTAAAATGTCAAATATTGAAGGTTAGCTATTTTATAATTAATCATTATTTGCTTTTATTAATTATATATATATATATATATATTTTAAATAAAGTTGAACCTTGATCCATCATTCGTTCCTGCTTGTTTCGTTTTTCCGTACATATCGTATTGTGTCAATTGTTTCATCACAAATGGTGTTCTTATAATGTTAAAATAATACCCATTTAGATAGCTTTTTGGAATTAGCAGATTCCCATGTCTATCGTTCAGGAATTCATTTGACATTTAAGAAAAATATTGAAGTTAATTAGTTTTTAAAATAAAAACTTAACTCCAGATCCTAATTGTTAAGAAAATGTACATTTTTTACAGTTTGGGTAAAATGCCTCAAACAACAGGTTTGATATTTATGCATCAATAGATGAAAATTTTAAAACTTTTGAATGTCATTGTTTGTATTGAGAAAAAAAAAGAGAACCGAATTTTCCAAATATTTTAAGTAAATAAATATATTTATTCATCCTTCTTTTACATTATAAATATTTCTTGCAGGAAGTACATAATATTTTTTCAATTAAAATTTTTCATATTTAATAATTTTCAAGTCATTATTTGATATTTCAAGTTGACCTGCATCTGTTGTTTTTCTGTATCGTTCAATTGTGGTTCTACTGTATTTACTTATACGTATATGTTAAATTTAGTGTTTTCTGCTTTTTTTCCTTTTATTTTTGCCATATTTTGTTATATTTCTGATTGTAGCGAAAAACAGCCACTCTGATTGTTTTCTATCATGCATTTTAAATTTAATAAAACTAATCAAAATGAACTTTGAATCCATTAATTGATGAAAATTGCGGCCAGCTGCTGGAAATTGCATTTTTCAGCCTGCTTTTTTAGGGGATCATTCACTTAATTAATTTAGATAAATTAGATTAAATTGAAGTTCTCATGGTTAGTTTACTGACTTATTTGTATTTATATTAAAGGAATCATCTTGTTAAACTTTTAAAAATCTTGTGTTAAATTATTATTATGGAGTATAAAATTTCCTGCATTGAGTGAAAGATGAATGAAGCAGCATTTAAATAGAAATTTTTTTTAGTTTGTAATTTGCTGGGTGGAGGTTCCTCTTTATAATGCTTTTTTATTCAAATTCTTTTAAGTTGACTTTACGAGGTAGAGTCAATAAATATGTTTTTTGGAGGTTGGCATAACTAATAAAAACACAGAGACTAATAAAAACACAGAGCCGACTGGAATTCATTTCCAAAACAGTTGGTGTTAGCTGCAGATCATTTCTGACAACGCGAAATATGCATTTGTCGGACTTTCAAACGTCGCCTTTAAAGCAGCGTTCAAACAAATTCTGCATTTTGCTCTAGAAATAACCTAAGATGCTCATTTTTCCTATTAATTTCCTAATATGAAGTTACTTTGCTAACATTAAAAAACATAGTTGCCTAACTAATATATCTTATAGTCATATATTTGAATTATTCAATGTTGTGACCAAAACGTTTTTGCAACAACCATACAAGTTGGCATCTTATGTACAAGGTTTGGAAAAGGTTTCACTTTGGTCCATTGGGCTTTTCATACAGTTTAGCCCAATATACCCCATATGGAGTGTAAGAGAAGAATATTTTATTTGTTTTATATATATATTTAAATTCACCTATTTCTTACAAATAAATGGCCAGTTTTTATCTTAAACTAATTTAAGAAGTAATATTTATGTGTGGCATAAAATATCGTAACTGTATATACTTTTGTATTTTTTATAAATTTTTTTTAGAGGAAATTACCTTGTTTTATTGATTCATATATTTTGTTTTAGGATTCATCTGATGATGAAGATGATTCTCATGAAGTAACTTTTTTTAGACATATGCACACTGTATGTATATGAATATAATTTCTGGTTAAATTATGCTAAATTTTTATTTTATGTTTTTGTATTTTGACATCATTAATATGATATTTTGTTTGACTGGAGTTGGTTCAATTTATGTAATTTTGTTTCTTAGAAAAAATCATTGATTTGAATATTTTTATATGGTAGCTCTTCAAGGTCCTGTGCCACAGGTCCAGAGCTCTGTTTTTGGACTAGGCAAGGTTCTGCCAACCTTTCATCTCTTCAGTGGGTCGATAAAATGAGTACCAAGCATGTTTGGTGACTAAACAATTTGGGTTCTGGGTTAGTCTGACCTGTGGTCACGAAAACTGGAATGGCACAGTAGACCTTGACCTTTGACGAGCTGTGTCACCACTGAGTTTAGTTAAGGCTATATATTTTGGATTGTAATTTTTAAGAGTTATATTGATTATTAAATGTACCTTACCTGTTCTTTTTACTGTGTCTCACCACTGAGTTTAGTTAAGGATATGTATTTTGGGTTGTAATCATTAAGAGTTTCATTGTTTATTAAACATACCTTACCCGTTCTTTTTACTGTGCTTTCTTACCCATTTTTTCTCACCCATTTGTGTTGTACTTATCTTACCCATTCTTTTCACGCCGATTTGTGCTGTGATTATCTCACCCATTCTTTTTACAGTGCTTATTAATTGTGCTGGTATATGTTTTTTAGTTCCATACAGAGTGGAGAAAAGTAAGTAATTGAATCAATATTTCAGTGCTGAACAATGCTACAAAATCCTGTGTGTAGCTGAAAGACATATACAAGCACTATTAATAATGCTAAAATAATTTAATTTTTAAAAAAATTTATTTTGTCCTTATTGGCTTTACAATATAAGATGAAGCTTAACCAGGATTCAAAATAAAGATTAACTGTATTCCAAATCATTTGGCATGATGCTGTTGCTAAAGAATAATTCATGATAGACAAAATTTACCACAATAATTTGATTTTCTTCGGTATTTATTCCTTTAGAGGGACTGTAAAAGTTTTTTTCACTGTGTGTAAGCTTCCTAGTATCGAAACAGATATTATATGTTTCAAATGTACTAATATAATACACTGCCTATATTTGTACATTTGGCACCTATTAAAACTGTGCCAATTACTGTAATAACTGTCTATTACTAAAATTAATTAAGCATCAATAGCATCCATAGTAGTTTGATTTTTTACATTTCTCTTAAACGAATTAGGACCTTTTCTCCATTATTTTTGCTTTATAGAATATAAATATTTTTTTAAATTAAATTATTACCTGATAACAAGTTTAAGCGGGCATTATTAGTCTCAATAAGAGTTCGTTTTAAATTATTTAGTTTTATTGATTCATGTTTTACTCACACTGTTCAACTTTTAGTTCTCTGGCTCATGTTTCTGGAGTTACAGGAGAGATGCACAGGCACAAACTTTTCATTTTTTTTATTATGGATAAAAGTTTTTATAAGAAACTAAGGTTTATAAAAACTTATATTGTTGGAAGCGTTAGTAATTGATAATGCTGAAAGTATGCACACTGCACTTACAAAATTAAAAAAAAAAGTTTGAGTGCTTAATAACAAAAATGCATAACAATTTTATGGTGGGAAGAAGTTTTTTTGTGTGGATAATTTTTTAATGCTGTCAAGTCTAGGTGAATTTTCAATTATACTTTTCTTACTTTTTTAAAAAATTAGCAATGCTCTCAAAAATTTATAAATATGAAGTTAGTTCTTTTAAATAAGGAAGAGAGACTTGCTCTTCCAAAAGACATTTAAAGTGATTGAGGCTATAATCTTTGTTAAACTCATATAAATTATCATCTCTGTCAAAAGAATAGCGGTCTGAAGGTTATGCGATTTCCCCACTTCTCTCACTTTCCCTCTCTCTGTTACCATAGTTTCAGTAAATAATTTGTTCAGTAGGTTAAATACATTCGGAATGTTATAGAAAGAATAAAAGAAAATTCAATTACTGTAATTAGTTGTCGAGCCACTTATTGTTGATTTTGTTGAAAATATTTTATAGCTGATATTGAATTGCAATCTAACTTATGCTTTTTTTCCCCTTAGCTGTATACAATTATGAAGAAAAAAGAGCTTTTAATGTCGAAAAATGTAGATAAAGACTACTCTAGTACACTCATTAGGCCTGTAAAACTTGTGATAAATAGCCTAAGGTTAGTATAGAATTTTTTAAGAATTCATTATGATTTTATTCTTGTAACTCTATGTTAAATAACTAAAAGTTGTCTCCTGTTATTAAGATATATACAATCTATGTTCACATTTACTGCTTATATTAGTTTCCAAATTTTGTCTTAATTATGAAGTATTGCTATTGTTGCATTATTTTCAGTCCGAAAAGTGATTAATTTTATTTAATATTATTTTGAAATTTTATTCTAGAACAGTCTTAAAACTATATTTGATAAATTATTTACTTAAAAGTTGCATTTTCTTAGTTCATTGTTTTTTTCCTTCAAAATAAAGCCTAAAAGCATCTTAAATGAATCACCCCATGATCAAACAGTTAATGAAAGACTTGAAATGACCAATATTACATTGCCATGCAGAAATCTGTGTCAAAAGGTAAAATAGATTTTATTTTCTTCGGTACTCAGCTGGCAATAAATTTACCAATAAATTTCTAAATTTGGTGTATAATAAATTTAGCATTCTAACATAGTTTCAGAGTTGCAATTCAGTAGTTTATCTTACATTACTTTTCTTTTTTTTCTTTTTTCCTAAAGGAAATAAAACCTTTATTTGTATTTAATTAAAAATTTTAAATAGTTGAATAGTTTAAAAAAAAATATTTTTTTTCTTTATTTTTTTTACTGTTTTAACTATTATGTTTCGGCTTTTTATTTTCTTATCTCTTTGTTTCTGTTTTGTAAACTTTACATATTTTTAGAATAAGAAATGCATATCAGGTATTACTAATTTATAAAATTAATTGTTTGTATAGGGTATTCACACTTTGAAGAATGGTATAATGAATCTCTATTTTCTACTAAGTTACAGTGGAGCATTGTTTATACGGCGATCACTTATACGACGTTTACATTTATACGACATTTAGTGTAGTCCCAAATCATTCCTATTCATTTTAATGTAAAAATATATCGTTTATACGACGCACCAAATCGGCTATACGTCGGTTTTTAGATTTTGTTCAAGTTTATTTAATTTTTAATTTTTTCTTGTGTATTTTAAAAAAGAGCGGAATTTGCCAACATGAATGATACTGAAAAGGGTGCCAACAAGAATGCTTGGATGACGACCATAGTTTTTACTAGATGACTGAAAAAACTAGACAATGTTATGAAGAGGCGATACTAATTATTTTGGAAAATGTAAAAGCTCTCTTTTTTTCCTGCAAATTGCACAAGTGCGCTTCAGCCATTAGATTTTACCGTGATTAGAAATCTAAAACTGCATCATAGAAAGCAGTAAGTTCAACTCGCTATTCAAAGCATTGTAGAGACTAATAGCNTAAAACCTTTATTTATATTTGATTCAAAATTTTAAATAGTTGAATAGTTAAAAAAAAAATTTTTTTTTTACTGTTTCAACTATTATGTTTCAGCTTTTTATTTTGCTTCTTATCTCTTTGCTTCTGTTTTGTTAACTTTACATATTTTTAGAATAAGAAATGCATATCAGGTATTACTAATTTATAAAATTAATTGTTTGTATAGGGTATTCACACTTTGAAGAATGGTATAATGAATCTCTATTTTCTACTAAGTTATATACACATATCTTGGTTATATATTCTGTTGTTACAAGCAACAAAACTTAGATGTCTTATTTATTTTAGATTTTATAGCCTTCTAAGTATTTAAGTTTTAGCCATCCTTTTTATTTTTAACCATCCTTTTATTTTTAACCATCCTATAAAAAATTCACCCTTATGAAAGACAGTAATTAACTTGATATATTAATAAATAATACTAATTATAACAATAATATTAGGAATTTGATAGTAATAGAAATGCAAAACTCACCCAAAAGGCTGTACATCTATCTTTATCGTATTAATTCCATCTTTGTTTCTCATTTTTAATTAAACTAATTCTTAAATTTATAACTATTTTAGGGAAGTGACCTCTTTATTTGAAGAGGGTGAGCAGCATGATGCCCATGAATTGTTTATCACTATCGTAGCCTCATATGAAAAAGCTTGTGAAATGTTCAAAAAACAATTACCGAGTGAAGATAATGCTGTAAATAAAGAAACAAATTGCCTTCAGAATTTGGAAATTAAACAAGCTGAACCACAAACTGTAGTTTCTCCTGTTGAACAGAGGGTCAAAAGATCTTTGCTGGCAGGGAAACGTCGCCGGACGAAAAGTTTGCCCGCTGACATGGCTTTTATAGAATCTCTAGTCTTAGGAATGGAAGGCAAAATTCGTCATGTTGTGAAATGTTTGGAGTGTGAAAAGCGATTAGAAAGAGAAGAAACTTTTGCTAATTTGGAAGTGACCATACCAGAGGAAGTTTCTAGTGGAGGTAACTTTACATTTTTGTTTTTATCTTTTTCCTTAAATAATTAATTTTCTTTTAATAATTAATAAATAATAATTTTAAGTAATTCTTCATAATTAATTTTCTTTTGTAATTTTACATATGAAACTTTTTTTTTTTAAATTATAATAAATTTTCATTCTTTAATCTAGTTTGATCATTTGAAATTTTTTCATTTTGATTAAAAAAAGTTATTAGCTTGTCTAAGTTTATTGTATGTTGTGTTAGAACTTCTTTCAAACTTTTAAGAATATGTTATGATTACAAAATCCTACTATGGGTCGTTTATAACTTTTTAGGTTGTTTTTGTGATAGTAATTTTTTTTCTGGTGTAATTCTAATATTATTTGCCATGTTCTCTTCAGTTCTATTATATTATTTAATTGTGATATTAATCAATTAAATTAGTTCGAGGTATGTGAATGAGATAGTATTACTTGTATACTTGCGATTATAGTATTACTTATAATGATTAAGTGTTAAACACTACAATCACCACAATCTTGCTTGGATATTATACATATTTTAGTAAATACAATGTTTAAAATTTTTTCACTGTTATAAAAGTACACAGTTGGCACATTATAATTCCAGTAATTACTATTCAAATTAAAAAAAATTCATATAATTTAATAGTAAAAGGTGAAAATAGTTCAATTTATACTTTGTATTTATTTGTGGATTCATTGATCAGTTTGAGTTGAATGCAGTTGTTTACTGGATTATAATAAAAGTTTAATAAGGCATATATTATTTATGTATTGATAAATGGATATTATGATGAATGTAGTTGTTTAAAAATATTTGGCTTTAAGTAATATATGTTAAAATAAGTGTGTGAGAGTAATTCACCTACATTTTTCTTTACTTTTGTTTTTAAATATATACTTATTTAATTTTGAATATAAATAAATGCCTAAATTGCATATTTAGTTGCTATCAATAATCTGTGGAACAATTTTTACCACTGTCTTTTTTTCTTTTACATCTCATCTTATAGAATGCTAGCATTGAATAAAGTATTTTATTAAGTTAAATGATTTGTATATTTAAATAATATTAGTATAATGTTTTTTTTAATTTTAGTCATTCATTAATTTTTCTGAGAAAATCAATTAATCAGATGTAATATAAAATAAGAATCATAATTTGATTACATTCAATATTTAAAATTAATTTATTATATTTTTATGCTTGTTTTTTTATTTTTAAATACAATAAAATCAGGAGACAACTTTATATTTGAATAAAATATACTTATAACTGTTTACAACTCTGTTTTTAATATTTTAGTTATGATAAATTCCTATTATTTTGACAATGTTTATCTTAAGTTTTTTTTTTATAGAATTTTAGTGATTATGATAATTCTCATACACTGACTCCTATAATTTGTGGACATTTAGTGTAGTATTAGTTATAAATTTTTGCGTATTTGTGGGTAATTATTTTTTGAATATTAAAATAAATGTTTGGTCTAATGATAACAAATAAGTTATGGTGAATGAGATTTGTAAGCGCAGAAATAACATTTTCCAAGAAATGGACTTCTGCATAAATTATCAAAATTTTGAACACCTTTTAAGAACTCTTCAAGAATAAAACTTCGAAAAACTTATATATTATTTGAATATTTTAATTATCATGAAATTTATTTAGGTGATGCATTTAGAGAGTTTCACTAAATTCATATGAAGGTTAATTTTGTACTTTGATCAAGTACTAGTGAACTTGATTTTAAATTTTATTTTTTTTAAAGATCTTTTTTCTCCGATAGTCTTGACTCAAATAGTCCTGACCAATAAGTTTACATATTCACATGAACTTTTTCAGAGAATGTGGGTGGGTATTTTTATGCAAGAAATAATCAAGTATGAAAAATCTTAAAGTAAAATATGATTATCTGAAAATAATTAATTTTTTAAAATAATTAATTTATCTGAAAATAATTAATTTTTAAGAATGTTTTTCTAATCTGTAAACATTTAAAAAAAAAAAAATCCGCAGAAATGGTATATCATTAAATATAATTAACTCATGACTTATCCTGAGATGCAATAGTATTGAACACAAATAAATATGCCTTATTGAAAAAGATTTGATCTTTGAATGTCTTGGAAAGATGTAACACTTAATGGGGCTTCAGCTCCAAGCTAAAAGAAAATGTATTTTGTAATTTCTCGTTAATATTATATATCTACTCTAAATTCCTTTTAATGCTATTAAAGCATTATATATATATATGTAATGTATGCATGTGTATAATATAAAATATTAATGATAACATTTGTAAAGAAGACAGGCAATCTCCATAAAATACATGTAATTCAGTGTCTTCTAAATTTGATTTTAATACAAAATTCATTTAGAAAATGTTTCTCCTGTGAGTCCATTTCGGATGCAATTATTCTATAAAATTATGACAAGCAAAAGCCATATATTTCTGCTTGTCATGATTTAAATACTGGGATTTTGATAGGGAGTTGGCTGTAAAATTTTTATTTATATAATTGAACACTATCCAAAAGGGAAATTTTTAACTTCTTGATTTGTTCTAAAACGTGACGCCATATAAACTATGGAAAACCTTTTTGATAATTTTCTTAATTACCTCTTGCTTCCAAGAATGATTGTGCATTAACTCTGAAAATAATTTTTTAATTGGAATATTGAATATTTATGGCTTTGTGAAAAAGCAGTTCTCTCCATCTTAGAATTAATAAGAAATATCTAACTTAAACTGTAATTTAATTTATCATGATTTGTATGAGGCATTCTATATTACATAAACATTCTGCTATAAAACTTCAATAGTTATATTCTGTTATGAAAATATAATGTTTAAGGTTTTTGGCAGATGAGTGTGACTGTTCTATGATGACTACATGATTATTTGATGTGACTAATTTTAAACCATGGTTAAGAACTTCAAACTGCCAACTCTTCCTTTCAAAATGCAACATATTTAAAAAAAAAAAAGCATTTAAAGTATTTTATTGACAAGAAAGAAATTTTGGGAACTTTCTTTTCATTTTAAAATATCAGATTTGGGAATCTGACTTTTACCTACGTTAATAATTTGGCATATTCTTTTCATTTTTGGAAAATTGTTAGAAGAAGGTGTTTAAAAGATAATTGTATAGGTTATTAGTTTTGCAAATTAGTTTAATTAAAAATCAAGATAAAAGTTAATTGAAACTGTTTGAATTTTTTTTTCAGAATCTGTTGATTTGCGTCAGTGTTTGTCACAGAAGACCAAATTGTGTGGTGAAAATAAATTTTACTGTGAGACATGCGAGCATCACAATGAAGCTGAAATGAGCTCTGAGATAGTGTCTGCCCCACCTATTCTTTTGCTTCATTTTGGTTGGATGGGAAGATTTAGGTAAATGAAAAAGAACATTCCTTTACTTATTTGTGTTGTAATTTGATTCTGCCAATTCCATTTTTTCTTCTATTTTATAGTTTTGTCTATTTTATAGTTTTGATTTTATAGTCGTAAAAAATCTATATGGGTTTAAAATACTTTTCTTTTATTAAAAATAACCTAAGTTCTTCGTTTCTGTAATATTTAGCATATCTATGGTGCAAAAAAATTTTATTTCTCAGGTTTTGCACCCAAGAAAATATTTATTCAAGAAAATGTTTATTATTATTTGTAATTCAATACTTTTGTTTTGTACAACTTGTCAAAAATATTTAATGACAGTAATATTTAATGTTCCTTCAAACATTAAAGAGTCCTATATAAAATTTTGATAAAGTTGCAGCCCGCCATTTGGCTGGTGTTTATAATTGGAAACCCTTGTTCTAGAAATTTGAACAGTATTGTTTATAGATATATAATATGATTTAATTTTAAATTGTTAGAGATATTATATGGGAAATCTCTTTGTCTAAAAATTTACTTTTAACATTAAAAAAAAAATGTATACATTTTTGTACAAAACAAAATTGGTATAAGTAAATAGATTAAATTGTTTCACAAAAAACTATGCAAAATTTTACCATTTTCAAATCTTGCTTAGGAGATTCATCTCCCGTTCAACAAATGTGCAAATTTCAATTGCTTTAAAAAGTATGCTTTTATAATTAAAGAAATCCTATTGAATAGTAAATACAAAGAGTTAAAAAAAATTTTATTGTGTCAATGCCTTTCAATGTAGATATTCACAATGCTTGTTTTCCTAGACTAAACCTTATCATTAGGTTTATGGAGGAAAAAAACTTCAAAAGAAATTTTTTTTTATAACTTTAAAATTTGCCTAATTTTCTAATGTAGAAATATTTTTATCTGGTAAACTTTTAAGTAAAACCAATTATATTAAAATTATTTAAAGTGTGATTAAAAAGTGAATTTTTTAAATCAAATATTTTTTATAAATTGTTCATTAACAAATTTATTTAAATTTTCAATGAAATGTAGTGTATCAAAATTTTTTAAGATTATAATATCATGGTATTTTATATTTTATAATGATGCAGCACTTTTAAAAATTATAAGTAATAGTTTAGTAAAATTCAAGAGCTTGTTTTTACATATTTGTAAATGTGGTTTTATTACTTGTACTTAAGTAATACAAAATATTAAACTATATTTCTAAGCAATATTTTATAAATTTAATTGAAAGCGATATGGGATGTAACAGAAATAAACAGTGTACAGTATTTAATAATCATATATGATACCAATTTAATTTGGAAGTTTTCAATGAATTTTCAAAGTTTTCCCTTTCCCAATTAACAACTTTTGATGAATGTCCCAATTTTTTATAAAAAAATTATTACTAACCTCTTTAGGTGACCAGCTGGGTTACTTTCAAATATACTTTTTGTTATTTACTATTGAGGCATCAAAATTGTGTTTTAGTAGTATCACTTTCTTAACACTTTTTGATCTATGGTATTAGTTCATATTCTGTCCAACTATTTCATTGCTCTGCAAGCTCAGCCATGAACAGTCTACATGTGATTGTCAGTGAGAGAATTGTCAGTGATAGAATACTCAGATCCACTTCGACTTGTTAAAATGATTTCCTGAGCCTTTTTAATTGTCATGGCAAAGCTTAATCTGACTAAAAACTGCAGCCTCTTAACTCTTTGAGATGGAATTTTTATAAAACATATTGATCAAACTTTTTCTTTCTTTTTTTTTTTTTTTTTTTTTTTTTTTTTNTTTTTTTTTTTTTTTTTGTATTCATTTATTTTAAAATAAGTGCAAAATATTATATTTATTATTTGATTAATTTATGATTTTGAAATATAGTTTGAAACATATTGATCAAACTTTTTTCTTTTTTTTTTTTTTTTTTTTTTTTTTTTTTTTTTTTTTTTTTNTTTTTTTTTTTTTTTTTTTTTTGTATTCATTTATTTTAAAATAAGTGCAAAATATTATATTTATTATCTGATTAATTTATGATTTTGAAATATAGTTTGAAACATTAGTAAAATCATCCAAACACAGCTCACTTCCAAATAATTTTTCAAATTTGCATTTATTTAGATTAAAGAGAAGTAGTTATTCATAATTTGAAATGTCTTTAATTTACAAAACTAATTAACGATGAATTTTTAAATAGAAGTGAGGAAGAAATTCAAATTTTTTTTTTTTAATATTTTAGCACAACTATAATTCCAATAATCTAATCTGATTTTTATAACTATTGCACCGTTTTTTGTAATACCAAAATATATTTTTACTTCTAATTAGAGCTTCAGGAAGAAATATATATAATTGTCTCCAGTGTGCCATTAACATCAAAGGGCAAGGAATAAAGAAAATATTAGAAATGAAAACTGTTTTTCCTTTTTTACAACTGTAAAATTTCAGCTCCAATTAAGAGTTTTTGAAGGGACATAATTCAAAGTTTAGTGCAGTTGCACAGTTTTGGCTTATTTAAATTTCTTAACAAAATAGTAGAATCAGATTATGTTATAGCACATCTAGTGGATTACGAGTGTAATTAAGAGTTTAATATTAAATGACTAAGTGAATATTGCTAGTATCGCATTTATTTATTTTTATTTCTTAATTGCATGTATTTCACTCGTGTGTTCTCATTGGTTGTTTGACGTAGGATTGAAATACTAACAAAGTATTTTTTTTCTGTTAACAATTGGAAGTTAAAGCTCCTAAAAAATGGATTTTACAGTCAACTTGTGTTCTGATGTTTAAACTTCATCCTTTGGACCATTTTGGTGTAACATACTACTTTCCTTACATGAAACATCTAAGTTTTTATTTTTTTAATGCAATCATTGTTACTGTTGCCACCAGCAAGAAACAAATTCTGCCCTACTCCGAGGTTACTTAAGAGGTTTATGTATGTAGATAATGAGAATCTATCTAGATTTGTGGATATTAATGTTTGTTGTGTAGAACTTTTATCCCTTTCCATCTTTCTAATATTGAATTTAATTTTACCTTTAACTTTCTAAATAGATAATTTTAATTTTCTAGTGTAATGTCAATGGAAAAGACAAGTGTCAAAGTGATTATTCCCCTTTCTCTGGACACATCTGAAAATAGAGAAATATTTACTTGTTCTAAAGGAGAGAATTATAAACTCTATGCCGTAGTTTTGCACATAGGTCGTTCAACATCAGGTGGCCATTACGTTTGTTTCATCAAGGATGCTTCTTCTCAAGAAAGTATGGATCAGACCAAAGAAGAAGTTGTTAAATCTCCTGCAAGGCAAAATAAACAAGTTGGGTCTTCCAAGTATTGTTGTGTCACTGATGAAATAATGAATTTTACTGGCGTAGAATCTTTTACGAAGTGGTTGTTGTTTGACGATGATATTGTTTCACCTGTTGTGATTGATGAAAATTCAGATTCATTTCCTTATTTTAACTTTTTAAGCATCACTGCCTCACCTTGTATGATTTTTTATCATAAAACATAACGGATTCATTTCTTAAACAAAGTTGATATTTTAAGCACAAATGTATTTGCATTAATATATTGATCTTTTTTAGCTATTTTGGTTTTATGTGCTTTTAAATTGTGTAAAATAAATATTTTTGTATTTTATCTCTGGTTTTATTTTTAAAATTTGTGATTTTCAGGAGTTACAATTACTGAAATTAAAGTTAAAATATTTCTAATGTCTCTTTACTTATAATTTTAAAGATATTTGGTATTTTAGAGAGGTTTTATGTGACATCTTTGTTTAGTGATATTTTTTTACTCACAAAACCTAATATTTGACTTATCAAAGAAAGAAGATAGTTTTTCAAAGGAAAAAAAAAAGAAGATAAAATATGATCTGGAATTATGAAGTGCCTGGAAGTGTCAGAAAATTTTATTTCTGAAATAAAGTGGGTTGGGTATCTAGCATTTAGATGGGACAGTGTTTTAGAATATTTGCCATTTGTTAAATTCCTTCTATTTCTTTTACATTCTTATAACACATCAGTACTTAATAATATTTTAATGTTAGATATTGTTATTAATTTTGATGCAGTGGAGCAAATATTAATTCATAATCTAGTAATATGATAATGTTAGAAAAATTCATCTTCCTACTAATTTTTTTTTCTTTCAACGAATAAACAACTTCATTCACTCACTTTTTATGTTTTTATTAATTCTTCTTTGCCTTTACAGATTTACAAACTATGCCCTCTAACATTTTACCCACTTAATGATCAAACAGTAAATAATTATAACTAATTATCCCAGGAACATTACCTTATTTGTCGTAATATAATAAGAATTCTGTAGTTCTGCTTCCCTGAATATCTGTACTTCTGCAACAAAACTTCTTACAGTTAAAAATATTTGTAGATATTCGACCACCTCTCACTCCTTAAATTATTACCATAGTTTTAAATAACATATTTTTCTTAAAAACAAAAGTGCTAATAAAAGAAAACTTAGTTTTGGAAATATCAAATTATTAAAAAATAAAGACTCTCCCCATTAGCTGGTTACCTACCAAGGGGAATCTAGAAGCTAGGGCTCTGAGTAGTGACATGATGGTGACAAAATCGTCAATGCCATCCGCCTTTATTTTCCTGATGAGCTGGTCACTCTTAAGCTAAGCTACTTTTTATAGATTTTTCAATATTTACGATGCTTGGCTAAACAATTTGCACGTAAACTGGATCTGCCATCATGTACTTGCACCATCTTAACATCAAAATTTGGCTTGAGAATATTAAATTATTTGAAATATATTTTTTTAAAGGATTATTAACGCTTTAGATCTGAGCGCCGTATTTAACCGACATCTACTCGATACCCTGAGAGTACGAGCACCATTTTTAGCCTTCATCCAAGCAATGACCTGACAGTATGAGTATTTATCTGGCATTTGGTACACACAGGACAGAAGTTTGTCTGCCTTGTCTTAATTTATTTAATTATCCTGAATTGCATTTTTGTTTATTATGTTTGCAAAATTACCATATAAATTGTAATGTAACTCTTAAATCAGAAAATATGAACAGCAGCTTACCTACGTGCACAGTTTGCAACTTGGTGCCAAGTTCTGTGGCGTCACTTCGGTGGAGCTGACTGCCGTAACAAAGGAGTTAAGGTAATTTAATTTTATTTACAAAGCATGATTATAACAAAAAAAGAGGCCTACGTTGGGACCTATAATCCACTTATTGTTCTAATTTTAATTGAGCAGGGAAAGAAAAAAAAACTTGAAAACATTTTTTTTCTACTTCGACTGTTTCTTTGGAACTAATTTCTCAGAAAAAGGTATTATGTTTTTGTATTATTAAAGTTTTATTGTTAAAAACCGTTAGCCGGTATATTTTACTTTGAAGTAGCTATAAATACATTTTGATTAAAGAGAGAAATGTATTTTTTAAATGAGCTAAGAAGGAGAAATATTTCTATAAATGCCTCTGAAACAAAAATCGTAAGACACACCATTTGCTACATACGTGTACGAATTTTCAGTGGTGATAGAAGTTTATTACAAATGTGAGTTATTTGTTTTAAGTGTGACAAAACTATAATTTTCTTCTTCATAGTATCCTCTTGTAAAAAAATTTTATTATTATTGTTTTCTACTCTTAAATTTTGTGTCTCTTAAGTTTTTTAAGGTCGGTAATTTATAGAAATTTTGATTGGCGGACAAAGGGAGATATACTTTGCTTGCAATACTTATGAGGCAATTGTAATTTTTTGTATTGTCATTTGGATCCAGTATAAATTTGAAAATTCTAGCTACCCTGTAAGAGGTTGAAATTTCAATTGACTATACATTCAATTTCAAAATAAAAAAGCGATTTATGCTTGTTTTGACAGCAAGTGCAATATTCCAGTGAGATTTGAGCACTCCAGTTAGCCTGGGGGGGGGTAATCAAATTTTCGATTGACCATAAATTCTATTTGGAAATAAAATGACAGTAACATTTGTTGAAAATTTGAAATTTATATTGTCATCAAGCACAGAGTTCGTGTTGATATTTAAGTACTAGCTTGGAAAGTAAATAAAAGTTTTACTGGTGATAAATTTTGCAGTAACTATCGTGAAACGGTATATTTAAAGTATACAGAGCTTCATTCAAAATAAAAAGTGGTCGAAGTAACGATAATTTTCCTTTGTCGATCAAATGATAATAAGTTCTACTTTAAATGGTTTGAAAACAAGTGAAACTTGTATTGTCATTCAGCACAGAACACCAGTTTAAATTTGAGTACTCTTAAGTCGGAAGTTTGATTGACAATATACTTGGCAATGAAGTCTTTTTTTTTTTATATTTTCATCATTTTATCTTCATATGTTGCATTTAAAAAAATAAAATCTATAGAAATTTAAAATTGCTAATGTTATTCAATAATCATTAATTTATAGGTACTACACCATATCTTTATAGATTCTATTAATTTATACATGCTATATATTTATACATACTATACTATTCAGTAATTCCTTAGTTAAAATTTATCCTATTTAAATTATCGTATTTAACATGTATGGAAATTTAAACCTTCAATTTTAAAATCCCTCTCAGAAGATTTTTCTGGCTGTGCTGCTGTCTGAAACCACGCGTTTATTTTTTATTTCGGTTTAGCTTTTGAATGGTGTTTCGATAAAAACAAATAATTTAAAATTATAGGTAACTCACATTTAAAAAAAAACGTTGTATACCAAAAGCAAAATTATGCACCTAAACGGGGGAAAATACTTATTAGTTTCGAAAGACCGTAAAAAAAGTGTATCTCATAATTTATGCAACGATGCTTACTTAATTTTGATAATAGGCACTATTGATATTGTGGTATCAGGTGCAGTTACAATCTTCACTAAATATACTGAAAAATAGATACTGGTTTTATGTGCCCCTTCCCCTTCGAGAGGGATAAATACCGCCAAAATTACTTGATTGTGGTAAATTTTGATTTCTATGCAACTTATATCAAACAATAACATATACCAAATGACACTGAATATCGTCAATCTTTAATTTGCTCTTACGAACTGGTAAAGAAATTTTTTTGTTTAATCTAATAACATAAAGTTACCGAGAAGAGCAACAAATAATAATAAATAAGCAAAAAATTATTTTCATTTTAACTTTATCTATTTTGCCGGCATATACCTTTCAGTTATGTGCATGATTTCATTATTCGTTAATTCCACTTTATTGATTTTACCTTTTTTTTTAACCTGTACGAAGAACAGGTATTCAGATAATTACAAAGATAATCGATTTGAAATGCTTCGAACTTTAAAATATGTTATCAAATAAAGAAAGAAATGTGCCTTAAAAAATTAAATGTGAAATATATTCTTCCAAATAAATATCCTATTTACTATATTACAGTCTTATAAATATTAATATAGCCAATCCGTTAAGGAGCTTAGAAACGGATATTATTATATTCATACATTATTATAAATTGAACAAATATTGACTGTTGTAATGAATTTTAGCACTTCAATTGTTGTCACAAATCATTCATTATCCGTATTCAATACAATAAGCTATGTATTATGCTTTGATATTGATTTTAAGAGTTGTCTCCTTTTAACTGTTTTCAAAATACTTCAATTTAAAATTCTTATGAACTTAAATGTCCAATCCAAACATGAGAAAGTTTAATAAGTTTTGCAATTAGCTTTTACAATAATCAAGCGAGTAAATAAAGAATTAAAATTATGTGTATGGATATAGTTTACAAGGTCGTGCGGTAAATTTGTTAATTTGAACATCAGAAACATGTTACTTTTGAAAACATGTAAGCCTTAAGGTTATTATAAAACTTTCTGTAGTCTAGAACTTTCTGTAAAAACTTTCTGTAAAACTTTCTGTATAAAACTTTCTGTAGTCTTTTTTCATTTCATAGTCTAGAGTAGACAATTCATAGAGCTCATGAAAATCGTATTATGTATTTTTCAGAAATGTCTTAATGAAACTATGTATTTTTCAGCTTATAAAATCATTTAGCATCTAAATAATTAAAATATAATGTTCAGAAATATCTTATAAGTTTCGTAAAATTTGTTCATTTCATACGACAGAAACATGTTCAGCCTGAAAACATGTAAAACAATATTTTTGAAGTTGTTTAATCAAGTAGTGTATAGTCATTTTATCAAACCTAGACAAAATATTTGATGACTATAATTGTTAAGTTTCAAATTTCTCCAAGGACGCTTAAGCTTGCTTACAGTATCACACATACTTATCTCCAAGTAATACTTTAATAGTTTACTTTTGTATATTTTAATTTAAAAAAATAACTATGAAGTTTTTTTTCTCTTTTTTTTATCAATTTACTCTCATTTTGTTGAAACCATAGTGAGCTTACAGTTATTTTAATTTCTAAACAATTAAATTTAATCTATCTTTCGTAAACTAATTACCTTAATTAAAATTTACTTTAAAATTAAGTTGATGTATACGTTATCGACAATGTGAGGAATTCCGGTATTGTATATAATGGCAAAAGTAGGTTTGATATTTTCTCTGTTTTGTATTGTATCAGGTGATTGTTAGTTTTTTCAGGTGATAAATACATTATATGAAATGCGTTGCACTTTAATTATTATTTTTTTTTTTACC